GAACCAACTACAGCAGTTCCAACCACTACAGCTGAACCAACTACAGCAGTTTCAACCACTACAGCTGAACCAACTACAGCAGTTCCAACCACTACAGCTGAACCAACTACAGCAGTTCCAACCACTACAGCTGAACCAACTACAGCAGTTCCAACCACTACAGCTGAACCAGCTACAGCAGATCCAACCACTACAGCGGTTCCGACCACTACAGCTGAACCAACTACAGCAGTTCCAACCACTACAGCTGAACCAACTACAATCACAACTGCTGCCAAAACTACCACAGACATGTTATCTACATATGACTGTTTATGTTCAGATGAGCAGTCTACGGCTGCACCAGATACAACAGTTGGACAAACTACTTCAGACATATTGTCTACATATGATTGTTTGTGTTCAGACGAGCAGTCCACAGTTGCAACTACCACAGCTGCACCAGCTACCACAGCTGCACCAACCACAACAGCTGCACCACAGTTTTGAGCTTTCAGCTCACAGCTGCTTGCACAGCTTACCACAGCTTACTACCACAGCTGCACCAACTACCACAGCTGCAGCAACTACCACAGCTGCAACTACCACAGCTGCACAACTACCACAGCTGCACCAACTACCACAGCTGCTACCACAGCTACCACACTGCAGCTGCACCAACTACCACAGCTCTACACAGCTGTACCACAGCTGCACCAACTACCACAGCTCTGCAGCTGCACCAACTACCACAGCTGCACCAACTACACAGCTGCACCAACTACCACAGCTAAGCTGCAGCTGCACCAAAAACTACAACCAACAACCACAGCTACCACAGCTGCACCAACTACCACAGCTGCTGCACCAACTACCACAGCTGCACCAACTACCACAGCTGCAACTACCACAGCTGCACCAACTACAGCTGCACCAACTACCACAGCTGCACAACTACCACAGCAACCAACTACCACAGCTGCACCAACTACCACAGCTGCACCAACTACCACAGCTGCACAACTACCACAGCTGCACCAACTACCACAGCTGCACCAACTACCACAGCTGCACCAACTACAGCTGAGCTGCACCAACTACCACAGCTGCACCAACAACCACGGCTGCACCAACCACAAAAGCTGCACCAACAAGCGCAGCTGCACCAAAAACTACAGCTGCACCAACAACCACAGCTGCAACCACAGCTGCACCAACAACCACAGCTGGCTGACCAGCTGCACCAACTACCACAGCTGCACCAACTACCACAGCTGCACCAACTACCACAGCTGCAACCAACTACCACAGCTGCACCAACTACCACAGCTGCACCAACTACCACAGCTGCACCAACTACCACAGCTGCACAACTACCACAGTACCACAGCTGCACCAACTACCACAGCTTACCACAGCTGCAGCTCACACAGCTGCACCAACTACCACAGCTGCAGCTGCACCAACCACAACCGCTGCGCCAACCACAACCGCTGCACCAACCACGACAGCTGTACCAACAACCACAGCTGCACCAACTCCAACCAAAAGCTGCACAAACAACCACAGCTGCACCAATTACCACAGCTGTACCACAGCTGCAACCACAGCTGAACAGCTGCACCAACACGACAGCTGCACCAACTACCACAGCTGCACCAACCACAACCGCTGCACCAACCAAAAAGGCTACACCAACTACCACAGCTGCACCAACGACAACCGCTGCACCAAAAACTTCGACGGCTGCTACAACCACAACACCTACCACAACCACAACGCCTACACCTACCACAACCACAACACCTACCACAACCACAACACCTACCACAACCACAAAACCTACCACAACCACAACACCTACCACAACCACAACACCTACCACAACCACAACACCTACACAACCACAACAACCCTACCACAACCACAACACCTACCCACAACCACAACACCTACCACAACCACAACACCAACCACAACACACTACCACAACCACAACAACCTACAAACCTACAAACAACACCACGCCCACCACGACGACCCGGCCGCCCACGACCACGGCGTGGGTATGTCCCAGCGGCTGGGCGCTCTACGGCTATTCCTGCTACCACGTGAGCAGCTCCAGCGGCTCCTGGACGGCGGGAAGGAGCTACTGCAGCGCTCGCGGCGGCTCCTACGTCAAGATTACCAGCTACAACGAGTGGCTGTTCCTTAGAGGTAACCCCTGGCGAGCTGCTTCGGGGTGCTGCGTGCACACACTCACGCACGCACGCACACACAGGCAGTCAAACGAATACACACATGAACACGCGCGTTAGTTCGTATCACTCCACAGGAACTGGTTTGGGCGTGTCTTGGAGGCGTGGCGGGGAGGGTGTATGCGGGAAGCCACTGAGGGGCTCCTTTGGCAAAGTTGAATCTTTCTAGCTGCCTGTCTGATAACCATATCAAAATATACTCATATATAATATATATATATATATATATATATATAATATATATATATATATATATATATATA